GTGTGTGTGTGTGTGTGTGTGTGTGTGTGTGTGTGTGTGTGTGTGTGTGTGTGTGTGTGTGTGTGTGCGTCTGTGTGTGCGTGTGTGTGTGTCTGTCTGTCTGGCTGGCTGGATGGCTCTCTGTCTGTCTGTCTGTCTGTCTGACCCGAAGCGTCTGTTTGTCGCCTTGGGTTGTTGCGGTCACTGGCAACAGCATTGGCTTCTTCAGCATGCTCCCGTTGGCTCTGTTTTTCGTATGGCTCCTTAGGGCTGCCCTGTCGGAAGCCCGCAGGCAGTGCCGTCAAAAGCGATGGATGGTCTAGGGCCCGCACCGGTAGTACCCCCCAGCCAAAGGTGTCTCCCAGCAACAGCCGCCGCCGCTCCAGCTGGCGCCGCCAGCTGAGGTCAAGCAAATGCACACACACGACGCAACGGGCGCATTCGGATAAAGGCAGACAGACCCGTGGAAAAGAAACAAATAATCAACGGCACAGATACACTGAGCTGTTGTATCCATATACAGAATATAAACAAGTATATGCTGAGTACCATACGGTAAGTGGAAGACGGAGTTGGGGTCCAGCAACCAGATGAATATGAAACAGGCCTCACACACTGGGGTTCAGGAAAAAGCATGAGCAAAGGGAACACAAACCGATGAATCTACCCAAAAATAACCAAGTCCCACCAAAACAAACTCTTCAAGAAGCAATTCCATACAGACACCCAAACGCAGCATTCCAGCTGCAGCCCCTTACCACCTCCAAGCTTTGTACATTGCCCTGCAGACGATTTTTTGCTGCCGTAGAAGGAACGTGAGACGCTGCTGTCTTTGTGCGATTTGCTGCTGCACTGCTTGAAGGCTGCGGGGGCCCAAAGGGGGCCCCTCCGGGCCGCCGGAACCCCCCTCCAGAAGCCGCAGGTCCCAAGTCCACGGCTGCTCCTGGGGGCCTCGTTTATAGGGCAAAGCAAATGCAACGACAACTCCAGGATCCTCATCTGGATACGGCATGAGGCTGCTAAAGGTAAGTTGAATGTCGACGGGTTCCCCCTCAGGCTGCTGCTGTTGCTGCTGCTGCTGCTCCCCTGCTTGTGCCAGGAGCGCTACCGCACGCCCCGCAGACACCCCATACCGTGGGAACACTGATAGCCACTCGTGCAATTTTTGCAGCCGCACGAGCTGCTGTTGTTGGTGCTGCTCCTGCTGTTGCTCAGCTCCGTTCTCAGTCGTGCCGGGCGTTGCTGCTGCAGCCGCTACCGGAGTATCTGCCTGCCCGTTCTCATCTGAGAAAACAGCAGCTTCGGGGTCCCCAACTGCAGCCGCTGCTGCCGCTGCATCAGCTGCGCTGACGGAGTCTACAACAGAGGCCAGCAACACAAGTTGCTGCATTGAGATGCCTCGGCACAAACGCTTTAGCTGCTGCAGCAGCTGCTCGAGCGCATGTTGCTGGCGTTGCTGCTGCTTGCTGATGAACTCCAGTGCGTCGTCCACAGTCAACGGAGACCCACAGTTCCTCTCCAGAACCCCTCTTGCCTCTGAACTCGCCCCCCCTGTTTCTGCTGCTGCATCTGATGCCTCTGCTGGTGCTGCAGTTTCTGTTCCTCCCTCGCTTGTTTCTGCATTGGCTCGCGTTGCTCCTGTTGCTTCTGCTGCCGTTGGGTCCGATTCGGAACCTGATCGGCGCGTAGAAAGCTTTCGCAGCCTCAGGATAGGATGAGGAAGCCCCTGGCTACCACTTTGATCTGCTGTAGGTGCGGTCTGGTGGAGCATCCCCTCTTCATATCCGGGCGGCAGAAGAAGTTGTGCCTTGCAGCAAACTGGCTGCTGCTGCAACTGGTGCAGGATCTCGCGCGGAAAGAGGTCCCGCCTGAGGAAGAGCACGAGTTGCTCGTTATATGCAGCAGACGCAGCAGCACACGCAGCAGAGCGGAAGGGTGGGCCCTCCTCCTCGTCTTCTGCAGGAGGAGGTGGAACCCACAGGGGGCCTCTCCGATGCAGCTGCTGCTCTCCAGGCAATCCAAGTCGCCGCAGGCCCGCAATACCTGTGGGCTCGCCAGCNACAGCAGGCGGCTGCGGGACGCGCAGCTCCACCGTAGCGACACGACATATCTCCCGCAGCAGCGGCAACCCAGCAGCAAAGGCCTGTGACTGGTTTTCCGCAGCTAAACTATCGAACATGGGGCCCTCAGCGGGCATCCAGGGTACCCTCCTGACGCTTTCACTTGCTTCGGCCGCTACACCCAACGGCAGCAGCGCCTCTGCTGCTGCTGCGGCGGCAGCGGCCGCCTCCGACCCGTTCGCGGCAGCTGTCGCTGCAATGGCAGCGGCCGCAGCAGCAGCAGCAGCAGCCTCTTCTGGAGTAAGGCTGCATTCAGCCTTGGTCTGAGAAGCAGCAAGGCACAATACGTCCAACGGCGGCCGATGCCTCTGTGCCTCCCCCCATTCCCTGGGGGCTCCCCGCGCCCCCCGTCGTTTGCCCCTGGGCAGCTGCCGCCCGGCTGACTGCAGCGCGGCCCGCAGCAGTGCTCTGCACGGGTGGGACCAAGCGGCTGCTCCGCACGCGGCTGAGCCTCCTGCTGCTGTGGACGCACTGGCGCCGTCTAGCGTATCCACACCCTTGAAGCCCTCCTCGTCCTCCATCTCGCCTTCGTCGCCGTGAGAAGCCTCCGTCTCGCGCTGCTGCTGTTGCTGCTGTTGCTGTTGCTGTTGCTGTTGCTGNTGCTGTTGCTGTTGCTGTTGCTGTTGCTGCAGTTGCCCCAGATCGTCAGCAGCATCGGCCGCGAAGGCAACAGTTGCTGCTGCTGTTGCTGCGGCCTCCCGCTGCAGCGCTGCCACATCTGCATCGACCGCCTCCAAGGCCAGGCGCAGCCTTTCCTCTATTCTGCCCAGGGCCTCGACAGCAGCAGGCCTGCTGTCCAGGTGCTCAATCCCCTGCGGCTGCTGCTGCAGCTGTTGTTTCTCTTGCAGCTCCCGCAGCTGCTGCTGCAAATTGTGCACAAACTCCCCCATCGCTTCCGCCTCTGCAACTACTGCTGCCTCCTCAGGACCATGCAAACCCCCTGCAGCCATCAGCGCCACTTCCTCTTCTGCGGTTAGGGGAGGTACAGAAGCCGCAGCAGCAGCAGCAGCAGCAGCAGCAGCAGGAAGGTTTGCGGTGCCTCCACTACGCCCCAAGTTCCCGCCAACGGCTGACACTAACGCAGCAGCGCCTCCTACACCTGCTGCTGCTGCTACTGCTAACTCTGCTGAGGCGACTACTGCTGGCGAAGCCGATACTGCCCCTGTTTCTCTTTCTGTTGCAGCTTCTGCTCCCTCATTGAGGCGACCGCCTGCCCCAGAAAAAGAAGGGGTGTTCCATAGCCAGCGCTCTTGCTGTGTGCGAGCAGATGACTCCACCTGTTGCGCAGCGGCAGCAGTCTGCAAGCAAGAGCCTAATGCAGCAGTGCCAGCTGTGCACGCCTCTGCCGCTCCTACTGTTGTTGTTGGTGCCGCTGCCGCTGCTGTTGACCCTGCTGCCGCAGTTGCCGGTGCCCTCGTTTCGTCAATCTCCATCCCTGTTGGGGCCTCTGCTTCAGCCGCAGCCGCTCTGGCTTCTGCTGCTGCTGCAGCTGCAGCAGCTGCTGCTGCAGCATTGATCGCTGGAGAAGTTGTGGAAGGCTCGGAAAGCTCGAAATATCCAACCCTACTGGGTATATCGCCCTGTTCCAACTGTCGCTGCTGCTGCTCATGCAGTTCCTCCTGCTGTTGCTGCTGCTGCTGTGTTCGCTGTCGTGCCACCTCATGTTTAGCCTCGTCACTGCTCACGGTGGAAGCTTCTCTGGTTACCTTAGAAGGCTCCGAAGTATGCACAGAGGAGCAAACTACGCTAGGCTGCTGCTGCAGCTGCACCAGCTGCTCCTGCTCCGAGTTCTGCCCCTGGTCCGCGTGGGCATCATGGTTCGCGACCAGTTCTGCCAATTTCTGCGGCCGTTGCTCTTGCATCTGCTGCCTTTTCTGCTGCTGTTTCTGTTCCTGCGCCAGGCGCTGCTGTTGCTGGAGCTTGTGCAAGGCAGCAAGGCCTAGCCCTAGGTTGCGGGACCTCGCATCCGGGTCATTTGCAGCTATTGCTTGATCTCCGCTGCTTCTGCTGCTGCTGTCTGTGGTAATACCTGTGCACCGTAACAGCCCAGAAAGAGCTCCACTGGCCTCGAGGGTCTGTGTTGCAGCAGCTACATCGCGAAAACCCCCAGCGTTGCCTGCGGCGGGAAGCGCGTGGATGGCGGAGAGCGAAGGCAGCAGCATGTCTACGCTGTCGTCCTCCTCTAGGACTGACTGCATGCGCCTTAGCAGCTCATCTCCCTCGGCTGCAACAGCAGCCCCTGAAGGGGATATCGCCGCAGCATCTGCTGCTGCTGCAGCAGAGTGAGCCCCTGCATCATGAGGCGAAGGGGTAAGTAGGCTGGGGCCCCCGGTGACCGTCGAAGAGCTGCGGGCCTCTTTTGGAGTCGATGCTTTGTTTGTCTCTAACGGCATCAGGCTGAAATCAGCCTGATGCCGCTGGCGAGGTAGCCAGCAGCCAAATAGCGGAAAGGAAGTCAAGGGCCGTTAGGCCGCCCCTGGCATCTGTCCTCAGGGCCCGGCCGACAGGCCTGCTCGTTTTGCCCTTATTATCCCTCCCCTACCAAGTCTCAATGGCGCCTTCAAGTACAAATGCTTAGTCTATGGTAAAATATGACGAACAATGACGCGCTCCTCATGGCGTGCACCCTGCAGATGCGCCGAGGTTCCCCGGGCAACCTCAAAGAAGCTCTTCGCCTGATACCTTCTGCATCAGACGTACAGAATGCAAAAAACAAAACGTAGGAAAGAAACTGACGAAGATCTCCCAGCGCTGGAGCGGAAATTGCCCGAATGCAGTTGTCTACGCAGCGCCCAGCGCCTTGTGAACTGGCTGGAGTGACAGCTGAACAATTCGTTCCACTTCAGAACAAATTTAACGGACTTCCGCCTGAATAACAACAAAACAGTAAACTAAGAGACGCTGTTAAGAGAGCAGTCGCGAGGCTTCCTGCATGCAGCTTCCTGCTCTGACAGTGGCTTCCATCGGCGGCAGCTCATTACGGCCTCCATCCCTAAACCAACAAGTGAACAGCTCATTTAGAAGGTGAACTAAATGGAATTAATATGAATGCAAAATTTAGTCATCATGGCTCGTTCTTGTGATCCGTCCCACTCCGTTTCTTTCCGTTCAGCGGGTTCGCCAACGGTTTGGTACCCGGTTAATTTCGCCTCATTTGGCAAATGCTTGCAGAACATTCACGTGTTTAATTTGAAAACCGTGTTCAGCTTCGTCGACATCTGTGGGCAGACTCCTGGCCTCGGCTTAGTGTCGCTTAACATGCTTCACCTCTGGGCTTCTCCGCGACTACAGCGAGTGTCTTCGGTCGTAGCAGAAGACAGTTTTGAGGTGCAGTATGGCCAAAATACTCAAGATCAGACTTCTCAAAAAACAATCTGACAACGTGTCGAGTCTCCAAGCGTCCTGGGTACTATGGCGCGAGAGCCCTGTAGCAAATGTTCTCCTTGGTATCTATGTATTTCCACTTGAGTACACGTTGGCTACTAAAGGCCAAGTAAATGCTTAAGGTTTATCAGATGTGCTAGCATTTGCATCAGAAATGGAATTGTGTGTGCTTGCATCTTGGGTTAGCTCGTTGCAGGAGGTGCAGCAAATATGGCTGCAACTCATGAGACGCCGCCTACACTCTGTACCAGTTCTGGGCCTATGCACCACTGTTTCGCGGAATCCTGTCGAGGGGAGTCCATTCCGTGCGCTTTTGTGGAACTCTGAGGTATTTTGACGACTGCATCCCACAATAGCCCAGCTAGGATCGAGTACCTGTTTCAGGCCTCGCACTAGTGTGGAGAACCGGCCAGTCGTGAGTAGCAGCGCACTTTGCTGCAACGTCTGCTGCAAGGCAGCGGCGCTCGCTTGCGTACTGGATCTCCCTTGCGATGGATTGTCTAATGCCCAAAATATCTTCGAAACACATACCTGGCGCTGAGTAACAAGCTTGCACTGCCGTAGAAATGGATCTAACAACATCAGATGAGCTGTGCTACAACTGTTTTTCCTTCTACGACTTACCCCCATCGTGACTTCTGGTTTGGCTCCGCATGACAACGATGCCGTCTAAATATCCAACGATAAATAGCGGAGAGGGGACACACAGAC